CCCGTCCCAGCCAGTATTCAGCATCCTTGTAGCCTTCCACAAAGAGCTGAAAGGAGCCCACCTGAAGCAGGGAGAGGCTGTGTTACAGGAGGCCACAGAGGGTGCAGAAGCAGTGACAGATGGGAATGGAGGCCAGAGCCCTACCTTGGGCGGCAGACCGATGCGGTTGAAACGCTGACCGACTTTCGGCACCTTCTCCAGGGCCAGCCTCTTCCCTCGGGACTTCACCCTGTCGATGGCACTGTAGTTAAAGGTTTCGCTGGCCAGATACACCACCTGGGGGGAGAGCAGTGCAGACATCAGCAGGGACACTGGCAATTGTCACTGCTCTGGCTGATAAAGCCAAGACACAGCATTTCCCATGGCTCTGCCCAGCACAAGGATCCCATAGTTTGAGTAGGAGCAGTCCTAGTCCAGAGCTCCCACCACACCTGCAAGATCAGCAGTGCCACAAACCAAGGCACAAGCAGAGCCGTGCAGAAGCACATGAAAGCCTCCCTGAGACAAGGGGTTTGTATCCCCTCACCTTTGTGCGAGGAACAATGTTGAGTTCCAGTTTCTGGTCCACCAGGCTGGCGCCTGCCTCTGACAGGTAACCCTGGTTGAGGACGAGGCAGTCTCTCCCAAAGCAGCATGGGCAGCACAACTTCTGCAGCCATTTGGTCCACTTGGGGTTCAGCTGCCCATAGGGCTCCTCGTTCTTGGGCTTGAAGACACCAATGATTTTCTGTGAGCAGGAGAGAGGAGAGCTGACTCGAGGCAGTTGGCAGAGCCAGGACATTCCCCCCCGAGCCAGCCCCCAGTGGGGACACTCAGACTGGGACCTCACAGCTCCAAGGAGGGACCCTTCCCCAGGCAGCGCCCCATCCCACAAGAGCAGAGCGCTGTCCAAAGACCTCCATATCTGGCTCATGTACCTGGAAACAACCCTCCTTGTCCCAAAAGATATCAGTGATAATGTTGTTCTCTGGTAAACATCCCAGTGACCTTTGGATGGCTGCGGAGACCTACTGCTCATCCCTGCTCATTATGTCCATGCAGGAGAGGGAGTGGGATATTGATCCCTGTCCTGGCTCCAAAATTCACTGAATAGAGCCAATCCCAAACTGACCAGAGGAAAAGGGACCAGAAGAGCTGAGTGGCTGGATGACCCCAGGGCTCTGCGCTAGGGGGCTCAGCCAGAGAGAGCAGAGGGGATGGCTCTTTGGGTACACTGTAGGCAAGAGGACACAGGCAGCTCCAAACTGGTACCAGCAGTACCCCAGCCCCTCAGTCCAGCCTTGCACACATCAACCCAGCAGCAGGGACAACAGCACAGGTACCCCACTGCTGCAGAGCACACGGAAGTGTTGTGGCAGGCACCGCACCATCACCAAGCCAGCACTGCCAGGCCAGGGCAGGCAGGAGCAAGGTTTTGGCCACCAAAAAGAGGAAGGGTTTGAGGGAACAGGACCCCTTCAGACCTCCCCTGATCACATGGAGGAGCCACCTTCCCTGAGCAGGCAGGAAAGCAAACCTCTCATCAGCCACACGTGAAGGCACACAATTGTAAACATGTCCTTGGATATGAGCGTACAAGAGGCTTGTTGGGAGCTCTGGCAGCACAGTGCCCTGTGTTCCATAGAGCCAAGTCCAGCAAAGTAAGGCCCAGCCAGCCATGGACAGCGTAACGGTGGAGGCCAGAGGCCTGGCAGCACAGCATCCCCTTCCAGACAGACCCATGCCAAGAGCAGCACTGGCAGGGAAAACAGGTCTGCCTGGCGTCAGCAGCAAGGCAGAGGGAGCCAGGCCAGCCCAGGGGTAACCACATCCACCAGGGCTGGGGAAGTACATCCCAGCTGGGACAGCTCAGGGCTGGCAGTCCAGAGGGAAGTAGACACAAGAGAGAAGTTCTCACCCCGCCAATAGCCTCACCCATGCCCACAACAGCAGCACCCTGCAGTCCCTCATGCCAGCAGCAGGGAAGTTTTGGTGACTCTGGGCAGCAGCCACAGAAACCAGCCACACACCACATTCACTGACAGTGGGGCAGTTTTATTTTTCTCTTTTCATGATAG